TACGCACCCACAAACACGCACACACAAACACACACATATATATATATATATATATATATACATATATACTTATATTTATAATTATAATTATAATTTTCTAGATGATACGATTTGTATTTGAATATATATGTATATGTACTATATATATACATATATATATAAGAAGTTATTTATCAATATATATATATAAATAAATATATATATTAATGAAGTTATATATCAATATATATGTATATATATGTGTGTGTGTATATATGTATGTATATATATATATACTTTCTATGTATATATATATACATATATTTATATACACACACGCACACACACACATATATATATATATATACATGCACTTAATATATATTTATATATACCTTTTATATATATATATATAGCTAGAGTATTTTTTAAATATTGTTGAGTAGATTTCTGTTCATCTCTATTTAATTTGAAATCAACTATCAATACACACGTTTACTGTTCTATCACGGTAGCTTGTGAATGCTAAAGTATCCACTTCGGTATGGTTATGTTGTGCCCATGTCTGTTATATTGAAGGCAGCTCATCATGTTATGGTGTTTCTGTCCCTGCTCTCCCAATCACAATCGTAAACCGCATCATAGTGCCTATGTCCCCCATTGTACACAGGCACAAGTATGCCGAGACTATTAAACCCCGTTCACTAACATGCGCAAACCACCGACATATGTTCAGGTAAGGGAATCCGCCGCGGTGCTCTTCCGTCGCGTGTGTTTCTTCCAAAAGGACGACACAACACGCCCTAAGTGGCCGATGGCGAGCAAAGCATTGCAGCAGAAGGCACGCATGGATCTGCTGCACTGTATCATGAACGAACCGGTGGATAAGATTAGACGCAAAATCTGCGACATTGTTCGTGAGATCTCACTTAAGTAAGCATGTACGCGTGCCCGTGGTGCAACTACTGTTCCAGTATTCGACCCAGTACACAGCCCAGTATATGTGGACGAGTGTAGTCTTGTTTAGAAGAAGGCGTGTGTGCATCCATTGCAATATGTTTGTGGTTGATATGTTTGTTTGTGTATGTATGTTTCTATATACGCGAGTGTATGTGATGGCGAGGAGAGAAGTGTAGCAGAAGACATGCATGAATCTACTGTACTGCATCATGAACGAACCTGTGGACAAGATCAGGCGCAAACTTTGTTTCATTGCCAGAAATGTCATTCAGGTATACTCATGTTGCAACTGTTGTTCCACTATTCGACCCAGTACACAGCCCAGTACACGTGGAAGCGTGTAATTCTGTTTCGAATCTAGTGCTTTTTTGCCTTGCGCGTGTAGGACATACGTCAACTGTCTTGCATATGAGTAGCGTGGACGTGGTGATATCTTATCACCTTACAGATACAATCATAAACGTATACGCCATCGAACACATCTCAAGTCTTGTTTGTGTAAGTTACTATGAATATCTTTGAACCCCTAAACCCTAAACTTATTTTTTTCAAAACATGGCGAACCTATCCGGCGTACGTTCTGTCAAACCAATAGAGTGGAAGAAGACGGCGGCACTTGGCCCGAACTACAGGAGTTTCTGTTCACACTGACCAAGAGCGAGAACCCTAAGCACAGACAATCGGCCTTCTACATACTCAGCACACACCCCACCATCCTGGGCGATAGTCTCTCGCGCTACCTGGAAGTCATACACAGCCTGGTATGTGTGTTGTGAATAAGGCTATGGGTTACTGTGGTGAGTGTTGTTGTATACATTATGGTGTGCAAAAACATGTACATTTATGTGTGTATGTATTGCGAACAGGGAGTTACCATAGTCTGGTATGTACGGTGTGTGGAAGTATACATATTCGTTCTAGCTAAAGTTGTAACAGCCTGTGTTTATGCATGTGCATACGCACAGTCCTACACATACACACGCACTCGCACGCACGCACACACTCGCATATGAACACACACCTACGATATATATATATATATACGTATGTGTATATGTATATGGATGCGTGCATATATGTCGACGGTCTTTCGTGCTATCTCGATGTATTTATATATCCAGGTTTGTACATCGTATTTGTGTATGTATGTAGTTGTATCTATTGGCACGCGCGCGTTTGTTCCGCTATACGACAGTGAGGATCAATGGCACAAAAACAGTTTACTATTGTGATTCGTATATATACACATGAATAGAAGAAGTCGCTTTTGCATGCTGAAAACCTAAGAATGTAATCGGTTCCGTCTTATACTCATCCAAGGCTCCTACTGTTATTTGTACTGTGAGATGCACCCGGCATTGCACCAGTGCATACACATTCACTGCGTGTATACCACATCCCCCGTCCACGCCACCATGCGTACAGTGAGCAGTCCCACTACACCAACAGCACACCCACCCGCCCTCAACCCCCTCCATCCCCCCTCCCACACACACACCCACAGATCCGCCAATCCCTCTCACAAGCCGAAGACATTGAAGTGCGTGCGAGTGCCTTGCAAGCCTGCATAGCGCTAACCCGCTCGGGTATGAAGCCGTCCGAGCGCCAGCTGTTCGCAGACTGTATAACGCCCATGTTCGAGCTAGTGGCTGAGTGTGTGTCTAACAACAGCAATGCTATACAGGAACACGGCGTCATGGCGTTGACCTGTCTAGTGGGTGTGGCGGAGGAGACGCCCTTGTTTCTGCGGCCACAGCTAAATGTGGTGCTGCAGACATGTAGTACCATTGCGGGAAACGCAGCGTTTAATGAGGAGGTGTGTGCGGGAGATTTGTTTGTTGGGGTTGTTGTAGTGTGTTGCTAAGATGTGGTGGTATAGGTTGTTGAAGTGTTCACATTAAGATGTGTTTGTACAGGGTATTGTAGTGCGTGATTGTGTATTAGAATTCGAATGTGTTGAATGTTTGTGTTGGTATAGATTATTGCAATTGTTAATATTAGAGGTGGGGGTTGAATGAGTTATCGTATTGTGTTGTGGTTTAGTAGAGATGAGTGGGTCTACCTCATTTGTTTGCAGTATTTGTCTTTTCAGTATTGCGGGATCTTTTACGTCACACTCCTCTTTCGTATTCTGCACACTCCAGCAACAAATGCAAATATGCCCATCCGCTTACGAATTCCTATCAGCAGTCCGAATATATCTCCCTATAAAATTATCATGGTCTCCTGAAGTACATCCATATCGTTATACCCGCCGTCTGTTCGGATGTATCCTCCATAGGCCAGGAAACTCGCCATCGAATTGATCGTCACTCTGTGCGAACAACGCGCGGGTATGATCCGAAAAATCGATGGGTTTGCCGAACTGGTGCTGCCTGTGGCCTTCACAATGTTATTAGAAATCGAAGACGATGATGAGTGGTCTACCACAGACGACATCGAAGATGATTTGCTGGAGGAGAGCATCGCAGTGGTTGCTGAGCAGGTACATATTTATATACTTTGGTGTGTGTATGTATATCCATAGGTAGCATCGTACGATTCTCTGTCAAGCCCTCAAGTTTACTTGGCCCTGGTTACAACGTAAGCTTGTAGTATTTTTGTGTCTGTACCTGTTCTTATGTTATACATTGGCATTGATGATGTGTGCACAAGGGAAAATCCATTGTATGGGATCTGCGCGTGAATTGAAGATCTCTTCCTTCTTACACGTAGCTTTGCTAAGAAGCAAGAGATGACGAGCACAGATACATGTCACGCATTATCTTCCAGGTCCCCCGATTCTGAACCATCCCCCCCCCCCCCCTTTGTAAACCCCACTTAATACATTTAAAAAAACTCGCTTGATAGATGTTGGTGAGAATAGGTTAAATTTGCTGTGAATATAGTGGTTCATTTCGCATAGCCATGCGAAGGAAGGTTCTCCTTCCTTCTGAGTCTTTATCGTCTATAGCACACTTATATCACAGATATTCTAATCTCGAGTTACTTGAGTATGTAGCACGCTTATATCACAGATATTCTAATCTCGAGTTGCTTGGAAATATAGCACACTTATATCACAAATATTCTAATCTCGAGTTGCTTGGATATATAGCACGCTTATATCACAAATATTCTAATCTCGAGTTGCTTCTGTGGTATTACCGTGCAGGTGTTGGATCGTTTGGCAAGGGCCATGGGTGGAAAGACGATCCTTCCGTTTGCTTTCCAGAGTATTATGGTCATGTTGCAGAATGCGCAGTGGCAACAAAGACATGCGGCCCTCCTCACCATCTCTGCGATAGCTGAGGTGTGTAGTGGAACAATGTCTCATTTGTCTGTGTAGTGTCAACCACTATTACATGTATGTCTGTATGTGTATAGATCATTTTTATATTGGGCATACGCCCCTCTTCACCATCTCTGCGATAGCTGAGGTCTGAGTAGTGGCCCAGTCCCTCATTAGTCTGTGTGGTGTCAACCACTACTACATGTATGTCTGTATGTATATATATCATTTTTATATTGGGCATACTCCCCTCTTCACCATCTCTGCGATAGCTGAGGTCTGTGTAGTGGCTCAGTCTCTCATATGTCCGTGCAGTGTACACCAATCAACATATATGTCTGTATGTATATATATCATGGGCATACTCCCTTCCTCACCATCTCTGCGATATCTCTCATATGTCTGTGTAGTGTCCACCACTACTACATGTATATCTGTATGTATATATATCATTTTTATATTGGGCATACCCCCCTCTTCACCATTGTTGCGATAGCTGAGGTGTGTGTAGTGGAACAATCTCTCATT